TACATTATTTTTTATAAAACTTCTTGGTACGACGACCTAAATAAATACTTAAATACTTTTAATTTTGGCTAAGAATTTGATAGACGCTGTGCATGAATGTACCTTTTCTAATAAATTATAAATACGAAATATTGTAATTATAAAATACTATTCTCTGTACACGTAATATCATAATACATGAAATCTATTGTAACAATATATATACATATATATATNTTTTTTATAAAACTTCTTGGTACGACGACCTAAATAAATACTTAAATACTTTTAATTTTGGCTAAGAATTTGATAGACGCTGTGCATGAATGTACCTTTTCTAATAAATTATAAATACGAAATATTGTAATTATAAAATACTATTCTCTGTACACGTAATATCATAATACATGAAATCTATTGTAACAATATATATACATATATATATGTGTGTGTGTGTGTGTGTATTCCTTTCTTTAGTACCTTACGATAGGTGCTTTGGGAGTATTAATAATTTCCTTTGTACACTTATCCGTTACATGTCATTTGTAATGTTCGTAATTGTTTTATAAACCCCTCATTTGGTTTGATGCAATCTCTAACTTGTTTGACTTTGTAGTAAGCGTCATCGAAGGATAATCCTTCATATACCATCAAGTAAGAAATAACAATGGTCGGCGAGCGGGATACACCAGCATTACAATGTACAAGAATATTTTCAATCCGATTCTCATCTATAATTTTTATACATTTTTCTATCGATACAGTGACATCAACTTCGGGTAAATCTAGTAAGTCGCAATAATAATATTTTATGCCGTCAAATTTAAGTGGTGCATCAATACCAATACTTAAAATGCTATGGATATTATGTGTTTGTAAAATCTCTATATTTACAACAGGATCTTGCGAGCTTAGAAACAATCCTGGTATTACTTTAGCAATTCGTATGTCAGGTTTATTGTCCATAACAAATGGTGTTCCAGGTGATAATTCTTTCCTTTCTTCACCAACTTCTTCGTATCTTTGACCAAGTGTATTTGTTACTATAGTTTTACACGGTTTCAAATGTGACTTCTTAGTGTTTAACAGAGTTTTTAGATCCATTGTTAATGAACAACGTTTATGCAAAACTAAATACAAAAGTAAAAGAATAATATGTTATTATGAATTAAATCTATATTATGTTGCTTCCAAATCTACAGGGCTACAGCTGTAATGTCTTTAAAATCATCCTCGTTATATTTAATTGCAACTTTATCTATATCTTCTTGAGAATACTCCACATTTATCAAGTGTAAGCCATTTGCTGGAGCTACTAGCAGACTCTGAATCCAATTATGGTGGCCAGGAACTTGTAACATACATATTATATCTTTTTCTGTGATATTACCAGCACCTAAGTTTAATAAAGCAGTAACTATGCGTCTAACCTGTAAAAACGTAAACATTTGTGCTTTGAGAATAAAAAGCTCAATTCAAATAAAAATACTTTTTAGCATTTATATAGTAGACAAGTAATAAAATTGGTGTCTTTTCATTGTTACATACCTGTTTATATAAAAAAGCCTTTGAACTACATTCAATTTGCCAAAATTCAAAATTGTTTGTCAAAGGATCGATAGATAAAAGTGGCGAACTTTTTTCTACAGTTAATCTATCTATCGTCTTTACGTATTTCGTTGGTACATTTTTCTTCAGTGAAGAAAACGATTCAAAATTTTTTCTTCCTAAAAATAGTTGTGTGGCACGCTTCACTCTTTCTATATCAAAATTTTGTGGCCTAGCAGCATGCATGTAAAGAAAAAAAGAAAAAATAACATTTATTCTAAGTCACTAAACATGTTTGAACTACAAATTGGAACATTACCTAAAGCAGTAAGTATGTGATCTCTCAATTATTGGTATTCCATATGGAATATTGTCCTTAGGTACCATAAATCTATAAACATATGATCTGGATTTTGCACACCTTCTAGCATTAAAGTCGTTTGATACAGGAATAAAGTCTAAGAGCCTTAAAAATGATATATTAATTTATCAACCATCCAGAAAAATTAAAAAATGTTAGGAACAAACTCTTTACCTAATATCATGGTGACATGCTATGAAATAGTGATTTATTTGTTCAAGTACCATAGAAGGTATATATAAGCAATCGTGTGTATTCTGTAAATCAATATGGGCTGCATTACAGAACGCGTGTACACCAACATCGGTTCTACAAATTACACCAATATATATATATATATATATAGGAATTATTATAAATAACAAAACCATTTTAATATCTTATTGGATAAAACTTGTAAGTTTTTATCTGCTAGTATTAGTTTTACCTGCTAGAAGTTGTTAGTTTTGGACGATTTATGCATTTAGGAATTATTGTTGTAAAAGCACATTCTAAAGCTCCTTGAATTGTATCTATATCGTTTATTATATAATCAGATTTGATGCCATTTCTCTGTAGTCCCCTGCAATCAAAACAATATCAAAATTACGTGTAAAATTTCTCACTGTAAGATGCTGTAAGATTCTAAACATTCATCGCAATGTTTCGTTTAATTTAAAGTTATACATTAAATTGTTAAAATCACGTTTATACCTGTATTGCGTACCAATATAAGAGAATTTCATTAAGTATCTATACATATTTTTTGGAGTTAAAGCATGTAGTATATGCAAATAGTATTACTGTTCAACCTTTCTAATATTGTTTACTATTTAATATATTTGTTTATCCAATATTCTTTTTAGTACGAAACTGCACACATCGAGCGTCAAGGTTCGAGTAAGCTAAAACAATTCAGATAAGATAAAAGTTCTCTCATAACTAAATATTTTTTCTAACGGTGTCAAATCGAACGTTTATTAGATTTGATTTTTGTCGGTTCTGTTATTTTTAATTAATCTTTACATTTTATGCACACGTATCATAAATACATATGGTCAATATTACCTGTAGCGCTATCTGTGGACGAACTCACAAACTACTAGCAGTATTAGCATAAACGCGATATAGGAGTACACATGTAAATGCTAATTGTAAATATGAACCCCTTAAAATATACGACCATAACATCTTACGAGTATCTGTAGTTCAAATTAGATGCTGTACATACCTATCTAAAAATTTAAGGACTATTCACTAAAGTTGTTTTATTTCAACATCGACATTCAGACAATTGATCTTTATGTTAACTTATATTTTTATTCGAGGACTCGTAAAACAAAATAAGAATTGTGTGAATTTTTGTGTACTCAGATTCATAATCTCTTCATTAATATTTAATTATTACATCTTATAGAAGAGAAATATCATCCTGTGATTACGTATTACAATAGTGCTCACTTTTTGCAAAAACTGTTACACTTATGTTGGGAACATTCTATTAACTTTGTTTCTAAGAGATATTGCCAAGTATAAATATTATTAAATAACTTACTAAAAATCGAGATACAACGAAATTTGTAACGCATAAAGTTTGTAATAAACTTTTACGTTGAAGTGACTTAATTTTGTATCGTAGAATATTTTAAGGGTGTCCGGAAATAGTGTTCATTGCATTAACATGAGCAAGAGATGTTCAATAAGATAAAACAATCAGAAATCAGATACCACTGAAAACAACGACAGCAGTGAGAGATTAGATCAGACATTATATAATTTATTAAGCATCATGCACAATGAATCGATTTACTGTGCTCATAGGAGACAGTTGAGTTAATCGAGTTGTTTAGTCGACAAGCAAAGTAAAGTTCGTTTTTATAAATGAAAGAAAACAAGTTTCGCATCGGACTTGAGAAAAGAATCTTTTATATCTTTCTTCTCTTTTAAATTGTACAATATAAATTTGTTTGTATCGTTTTGGACAAATAACAAAATTATATTTATCATAGTTTGTTTTTCACATAGATTGATTTTGAACAGTTAAGTAACCATTGCACTAACTTAGGTTCTTCCTACTGAAGAACAAACTGCAGTTCTTTGGTGTGTAACAAAATTAAAGATTTTAGACTTTACTTGGCAACCAGAGAATAGATCTTTTTTTTCGTGAAAAAAGGATGATGTGGAAGGCATTCGTTTGGTGCTGGAAAGTCATCAAACAATATTTAAGCAACTGCAACATCCACGGTGTTAGATATCTTGTGGATGATCAGATTTCCTACCCGGAAAGGTAACAGAATATCGGGAAAGTGAAGACACCTCTGAATGTTGGTAAAATTCTCTTCCTCTTTCCACAATCGTGAATAATTTCAAATATTGATCTGTTCGTAGACTCTTTTGGCTAATCTCCTGCATTCTGTGCTGGTATGGATGTGTAAAAATGATCACCGACGTTGTGATGAACTACATCGAATACCCTGTCGCAGTAACCGTAGAAAGCATGTACACTGATTGGGAAACACCATTCCCTGCGATTGTTTTCTGCATTTCCACTACGAAAACATTGAAGAATAAATACTTTAAACGGTTCGTAACACAAAGTTCCAAAAAAATTCAACTTCACGAACGGTCAGGGTAGCAAATAAACTTACGTATGTGTTTCGGAAAGATTCTAAAACGCACCGTTTACAATGCGATTAGGTTCCTTTACTTTTTACCATTTACTTTCGAGGCGGCTCACGCCTTGAAGGATTTACAGCGCCGAAGTCTTTCGGTTGTTTCTCTCGCTTGCATCAGCGGTGCTCCTTGGAAAAAGTTTACAGTTTATAGACGCGCGGAACCTTTTTTTCAGCAGCCCCCAGTTCGGAAATTCTAATTCAGATCTACTTCAGACAACGTCAGAAGAATTGCTGTCCCTATACGACGAGGCAAGAAATTATTCCGTTTTTAAAATTATGCACTCCACGGCTTCTGATAACACGTCTCGCGTTGTTTGCATGATATTTTCGTGATACTTTCCATGTGCTATTTCCGTGTGCACCGTGTTTATAAATTGTCTACATCGATCTCTCTTCATCTTTCTCTATGTTACGCGTCACAAGCGATTCCTTGTTTTGATCGCAGATGAGATACAAGTGCCCGGATTTGTTGGCCGAATGCACGTGGAACGGCAAGAAGTTCAACTGCTGCTCGGAGTTCCAGGAATTGCGGAAAACAGGCGTCGGTTATTGCCTTGCTATGAACACGTATCATCTGGGCAACGAGAAAGTCCGATACTTCGTCAATCGGACCGTGAATTACGGCGACCTCATCATCGATGTTCATCTAGGCTCGAAACCGAAGGACTTCGTCTTGTCTGCATTAACTGTTCGTACGAATGTTTCTTTGATACTAGAATCGTTACTGTGTCTCCACGTGTCGATTCTTCGTTTCACTATTTCTCCACAAAAAATCAGTTTTTCATAATACCGTGTCGACTTGAGCCCAAATAATTATTTCTACGTTGGTCTTGAAATGAGAAAGCGCGTTGCAACGCAAAGGGTTGCGAACCTTCTTGCTATGTGAAATATAAAAGACACCTCTCAGATGAAACTTATCAAATATCCAAATGAAAGAAGCCTAGAATTAAGAAATGTTTAAGAATTTATACCCTGGAATCATTCGAAACGCACTCTTTTATCAGGAAAATGTAACGACTACCAGTACGTTTTGAGGGTACAGTAATGTTCAGGAGGCTCCTCTGCATTAACAGATGATTCTTGCCGCGTTTGCTATAAGATATTACGTAAAATCCGGCAAGAATCATCTGCTCCTGAAAATATAAAAATAGCGCCGTTATACGTAGTGGCGGAATGCTCAAACTGTTCACTGAAATTAGCCGTTGCTAACTTTCCTACCAACTTCAGCGTTTCGCCACTGCGCGTAATGGCGCTGAATAGAGATTTTAGTGGGAATCACGTAGTGGCGCCACCTGTGCTGGAATACTTACTCCACGAAGTTATCATCTATGAGTAATTTTGATGAATAGTTTGAGCGTTTCGCCACTACGTGTAATGGCGCTATTTTTATATTTTGAGAAGCAAATGATTCGTGCCGAATTTTACATTGTATCTTATGGAGAAAACGGCAAGAATCATCTGTACGTTATATTTGCAATAACAAATGAACTTTTTATGCATTACACCGATGCAGATGAGTTTCCTAAACATTTTCGTATCCTCAGAATATTTTTGTAACACTTTAATTAATATATTTTGGCCTATTTTCCATATACATACAATTCTTATGGCAAGTGTTTGGACTTACTACGGCCATTACTCATTGTAATTATGCAATCTGTGCCGTAGGTCGGATAAAATCATTAGACGTGTTTTGAGATAAAAAATATTAATCTTGTGCCACTGATTGCCAAGATACATACGTCTCTTTTTTAAGTTTCGACATCTGAAAATTAAAAATCTACTAAAAATTAAGGATCCCTTCGGACTTTCCTTATCGAAATCGCTTTTTCGTCCATCCGAATGTCGCGATTCTCTGGCCAGATTTCAAAATCACTTCGTGCTTCGCTGTTTTCGTAAACGACTACAATTTCTTGGAATTTTAATGAATTCAAATGAACGGCATTGCAGAACCGCGAGCAAGGGTAGAAATTCAATGAGATAAAAAAAATGTTGCCACAGATACGCGGACGCCAATTGTTCCTCTAGTTTGTGCAAACATTTAATTGCAACGGCACAATACCGTGTGCATGATTGCAGGTGCACGTGCTCAACAATCTAAAGCTGCCGACGTTGAGCAACGCGGAGAAGGGGATACAAATGGCGATGGGTAAAATGAAGCGCATCGAATTCTCGATTTACGACACGTTCAACACGCCGGGCGTGGAGAATGTCGCGATCAAGCACAGACATTGCCGATTCCGACACGAGAAGCTAGAGAACAGCATATTTGATATTTACAGCAGCGACACGTGTTATCTCCAAGTACGCGCCGCACCGGAAACGCAAACAAAAGCCCGTCGGTTGCTAGAAAATTACGGCAGGTTACTCGTTTCGGTTGCAGATGATTACAGAGCGGATGGTCAAATTTTGCGGTTGCGTGAGCTTCTACTACTTCGCACCGAAGGGTACACGCGTGTGCAACTGGACCGAAATGCTCTGCATAAACGGCAACATGACGGAGATTTCGTCCGCCGAGCTGTGGGACCAGATGTGTCTACCGTCCTGCGAGGGCACAGTGCTGACTACGTACATTTTCGACAAGAATATCTTTTTACAGAACGACCGATCAATTTCCGTTGAAACTATTCGGCCGAGTCACGAGTAACTTCCGTTTCCTTTTCAGACATTATTTGGTCTTTTTTTAAATTTATTATTATCTTTTATTTATTATTATTATTATCTTATAATAATATTATTTATTATTATTATTATTTATTATTTTTTATTTATTATTATCTATTTAGTGAAAGCAAAAACTCATTTGTCCCGGTGACTCATAATGGGTGGATACGAACAACAGATTCTATCTAGTTGCATCGCTAGTTATTTATGACTCGACTTAATATATATTATAATTAATATTAATTATAATATTATTATAATATTATAATAATAATAATATAATTATATATATATAATATATAATATAATAATAATAAATAATGTATATTATAATATATAATATATTATATGTAATATTATTATAATTAATATTAACTACAATATTAATTATACTTAATATTTTACTTCGAATATTTTTAATGCACTGGATCGGCCACTTCATATTTGTACACGGAAGATGCAACGTGATGCTTCATGCCGTAGAAATCGATGGGATGCTCACGAATACGACGCACCAAGGCGGTCATACTCGAGATTCCATTTTACATTGCTGTCCCATCCGTACTTACGGCACCGACGATACGTTGTGAACGAACTGTTGGATGTTGTAGGTAATGGTCGATCATAAATCGTGCATAAATTACAAAACCGTTCGGACCTCGCGAAAGACGAATCTTTGGACAGTAATTTCTCCCTAATTGAGATTGCGCACAAAAATGGACAATTTGGTAAGAGAAGATACGATTTTTACAGTTGTCGACAATCGATGACTACAAAAAACAAATTGTCCGTTTTTTTTTGCGCAATCTGTGCGCGAATTAGAGAGAAATTACTGCATCCAGGTGACACTTCACAATCGGTCTCCTATAAAAATACGCGTTTGCACGAGCACCCGCGCAGCCTAGATACAATATCTGAATGCTAATAGTCTCGTATGACGAGTGTCACGTGCGAACCGCATAAATTTCTTTCAGTTTCAGTTGGTAGCGCGGTGGGTCTCTTCATGGGCGCTAGTATTTTGAGCATCTTCGAAATACCGTACTGGTTATTCATCCGCCGCGATAAGATAAGGTAAACGATTTCCGGTAGCGGAGGTGTACGGTAAAGTATTTGCAGCACCGTCTCGTTTCGTTAACCAAAAAAAAAGAAAAAAAAATAAAGAAAGTAAAACAAAGTAAAAGCAAACAACGGAGGAAGAAAGCGCGGCCGTGGATTTCGTCACGAATCAATCGGAAATTTGAATTTCATTGGGCTGGCTCGATTTTATCGCGGGATTGTTTGCCAGCAAACATGCCAAAAGGCAAAACCGGCGGAAAGATTTCCCCAGTAAACAAATCAAACGCGCGACTTAAAAGGACACGCTTGTGACGGGTGCCATGCATTTAACTCGGCGTCGCTTTCTTCCACTATGTCTGAATCGACGCTACAGCTTCCGATCGCACCTGTGCAAGCAAAAAGCAAGATCGGTTCCCGGGTGAACGCGTTCCGCAATGTGCTGAGCTTACAAGAGGTTCAGCGTTTAGTGAGAGACTCGCTGGGCCCTAAAGCGGAAGCGCAGAAGCATTCGCTGCGCCAGTACTCCGATGGGAAACTCGGCTTCCTCAGCTCCCATCAGCGGCTCACTGTCGAGGCGAAGACCAAGACCGGTGAGACGGAAATCTTGACCTTCTTCGTGAAAGTCGTGCCTTACGACATGCCGGATCAAGCCGAATACGTGATCGGCAAGTGCGTTTTTCTCAAAGAAAAGATATTCCTCCGCGACATAGTCCCCGAGCTGAAGAAGTCGTACGACGCCGAGCCATGGTCCCCGCGTTGCTACCTGGTCAAGGAGAACCTGTTCGTCTTCGAGGACCTGGGCGCCAACGGCTACACCATGCGGGACAAACTGTTCACCAAGGAGCTCGTCGTTTCGGCTTTGACCAGCATCGCGCGGATGCACGCGTCGTCCCTTCTGGCGGAGGACCGTCTCGGCGTGTCCTTCCATCAGATGTATCCCGACGCTTTCGTGGAGAACTCGTTCGCTCGCAACGGCAAAACAAGGAAGTGGTTCGACGCCGGCATCAACGCCATCGTCGCCATCGCCGAGCACCTCGGCCTCGACGCGAGTTTGGTGCCGAAGGCCTGCGACGAGGTGTTCGCTGGTCTGGAGAAGTCTGCCACCAAGAGAAATGTCGTCAGTCACGGGGATTTGTGGGGGAACAACATGATGTTCAGCAACGAAATGCCGCCGAGGTGTTTGCTGGTGGACTTCCAATTGATCAGATACGCACCTCTGGCGCACGACGTCGCCCAGCTCCTGTACCTTTGCACCGATCGCAGCTTCAGGGCGTCTTCCGAAGAGACCATGCTGAAGCATTACTACAGCGTGCTGTGCGAGACCCTGAAATCCGCGGAGACCCGCATCGAGATTCCACCCTGGTCCGAGATCGTCGAAGGCTACGAGGAACAGCGTTTAGCAGGCGCGGTCGCCGCGGCTACCTTCTTCCAGACTGTGCTGATGAACGAGAACATAGGCGCGGAGATCATGAGTAATTCCGAAAGCTATAACCGGTACGTGTTCGAGGACAGAAACGACTTTGTATTCGCCATCATGAAGGACGACCCGGGATATCGGAAGAGAGTCACGGAGTCGGCCGTCGAAATGGTGGATTTGAGCTTCCGCCTGCATCGGCTGCCGAAACCGTCGTAACACACGTTCTATAGAAGATTTTGCATTATCTATTTTTTCCAGCTTGTTTTCTTTTACTTCAAACGAACTCTGGTGGGAGAAATTCGCACGCGTTTTACACCATTGACAAATAATCACGTTATTCAGAAATGATGTCCAACGCAACGTTTGCGAATATGTATAATATTTATATGTAATTGTTCACATGCCGCGTTCGTCGCATACGTGTAATAAATAGTACACATGAAACCGAGACGCTTTAATGATCCCTGTGCTTCGCGTCAACGTCTTGTGTCAGGCAATCGCGTGACTGGAGACGATTGTGCGGGCGTCGAGGGAGATAGACAATTATATTTCACGCTTCTGTTTCTCTGACATAAATACTATTATTTAAAAACTTTATTTCTTAAAGCCGAACGCAATTACTTTGCACTAGTTACGCGGCTAGAATATCATCATCTCAAGAAAAATGTTCGATGCAATCGTGTTGTTGTTAATGCTCGATGGTCTCGATGTCCTGTTCGTCGGGAAGTATTGCTCTCAGGAAAGTCCAATTATGGTCTATCACTTCTTCTTTCGTCTCATCCGTATCGTTGTTAACAATCTCGGGAGAAGATTCTGGTTTTGCTGGTCGGGAAGATTCGTTCTCGCTTTCGTCCGTTGATTCGTCCTCGCTGTTCGCTTTGTCGTCCCTGGACGATAGAAGAAGATAAATTTGGCTACGTAATTAATTATTTACAGAAGAGAACCGACTTAAGTTCGATGTAATTTATTGTCTGCTGGATTCTGACGTGCTCATTCTGTCGAATTTACCTGTCGTGTTTGCTCTCCGCTGATTGGGTTTTCGACGACATCAATAACGAGGTGATGAAAGATGTACAGAGCAGTTTCATGGGCGGCAGAGTGTGGGCCGAGACGCTCAGGAGCTGGAACATTAATAAATTCCTGCTGTTTTCTCGTCTCGCTGATTTACGGCTGATTGCTATTTAGGAAATCGCGCGGCATCGGTCTCGGCGCAGTTGGGAAATACTTTCTTTAAATAGTAGTAAATAGAGGCCTGCGATTGAAAGAGGCACGTGACGGGTTTTAAAGCGCGTTCGCATTGGCTCTGCGCTCATAACCACGTCCGATTAGGCTAATTAGTTTTAAGGCTGACGCAGGCACACCCCCGAACGAAAATTTCTACAATTCCTGTAATCTTCTACTTCAGATCTAGGTTGACACGTCTCTTACGGCCCACGCGAATCTTCTCAGAATACACCAGTTTTCGCCAGAAAGTCGCGCGAAATACGCGTGTATCATCCGCGTCCGAGGAATAACACGAAACATTGCTCGGACGCAACGCGCCAACTGGAATCCACCGAGTTAACTAATAATGCATTCAATTATACCGGTGCGAACGCGTAAGAAGAGGATTGCGCACTGGATTCTTCGGGAAAATGCGGAAAAATTGGGGAATAACGCGCGAGAAAATTCTCGGAGAACTGAATCGGCGTCGAAAGTACCGGAAGGATCGAATAGCATCTTGTTTCGTAATTGATGTAGCTATGAAATATGCGTTTTCGCGATTGATTTGGCATCGATTTTTCGGGTTCGCCGCTTTAACGATTTAACATCGATTCGACGAAATCGCGAAATCAGCTTCGAACGAACCGAACGCTATCGAACTCTCGGTCGAATGGGATGAATGCCATTTTATTAATAGGTAACGTAACAATCAGGGCAGTTCCCGGGGGAGATAAGACTTTGTTCCGCAGCTTTCCCAACAGGGTTCGTCCTGACCTGGTTTTACCGGAACGTTTGCAAACAATTCCGCAGCGAAAACCACGTCCCGCCATTGTACGGCGTAACGAGAATGAATGAGGGTACGTTCCGACGAAACTTCGATTCTTCGCGAGCCGGCGGAACTACGGCATCGCTTGTTAATCATGCCGAAGTATCGAAAATTTAATTGAAATCGAGACCGTCCTACGCTCGGCACACATCCCGCCATATTTAAAGAAAGGGAAGCGCGCGCGACGTTGCATCGGAAACCACCCCAAGGTGAAATCGTGTTCTACCAATAAATTTAATGTAGACACTGTCGCCATGTATTCAACTATTTTGAACAATTTTCAAAAATTTCCAAAATTTGTTGTTCTTATCGTCGATGCTAATTCGTCGATGCTTGAATCTTTGATGAAACTTTCGAAGGGTGAACTCGATTTAAGAACATCAAAATTTGCGCGACTTCGCCGGGCACGATTTTACTGAAGATTTCGTAACTCCCGTGTCAATAATTCGTTGAGGGGTAATGCAGGTCTGAGGTCATCGCAGGCGTTCGCGGGGGCTAAGCGTCCGGAATACCGCAGAACGTAGAAAGAAACGGAGACGGTAAACAATTGAATTCAGACGTTTCCGCAGAACTGACGCAACTGGCAAAGAACGAAAGCGGTGAGTTATAGCGGATATTAATTACGCGTCTCGCGACGTGTCACGTTCATTTTAATGTCGTCATTGAGACGTTTTAAATGGCCCTCATTGCGGTACAGACGTGAATCCACCCGTTTCCTACACTTCCATAATTTCACGCTCGAAAGCGAGACGATCCTGATGAGTGTACAAATGACGATTAAACCAGCTTTCTGCTAGATTCAGCTGGATCTTGTTGCTTACTAACGAGCGCGAAACCGTGAAGAAATGAGACTACCGACAAAAATTCAATCGTAAATTGAAAATGAATACTTGGACGTCGTTTTAAGGGTTAAAGCAGGGGGGCGGATACTTCGGCGACCGGATATACCGAATCTGTTCACGATGCGTGACTCGTGCGAGCAACACAAACATTCCTCCGTTCGAAGCGTGCACCGCATATTACACCCTCTATGGAGATTAAAGATACAGACGATGGCGAGATTGAAGACAATAAGCGACATCGTTTAAAGCAATACGAACAATCGTTTAAAATTAATTAGACGGTGCGTCCACGTTCTTCTTAATGCCGTCATTAGCGATCATGCGGCCTTAAGGACCGCCGCTCGTGATGATCCTTAATTTGCTTAGCCTCCAGACTAAGCCGGTCTCCAAATGGGGCAAGATTTAACTTTCAGAGGAGCTGATGTTATCACGTTAATTTGAACGGCCACGATGCTCGCGAACTTTAGACGTGCACTTGTTGCGCGTTCCCGTGATAACAACTCCGGCTGAAACTTGCTATATTGATTTTGCATCGAGCCACGAAACTTCGAATGCCCCGCCTTCGAACATCATTGTTCTCCGGACCACAATACCATAATCTGCCGTGCGCGTCCGCGAGACGATTACGAGCGGCGATTTTAACCGCCATTTCTATCGTACTTAGAGCTCTTTCATAATGGCTCCTTATCGTACGCGACGAGAGCTGAACTTTCTACGGCCAATCCGGCTCGTGAAATCACAAAGACAGCGCTTTTCATTACGGCGACAACGATGTGTCGAGCGTGAGATCGCGTTCGCAGTCTCTATCCTTCCCCTTCGCGGAGGGAAAACGATAACGCTGCTGCCGACAGAAAGTGTATATCGTTCGCAAAATAAAGAAACAAAAGGCTCGCGACGAAATTGCAATGAGACGTGGCGAGGAACAATAAATACTCTTGTCCCCTTCTCGCGAGACGCGATGATTTTACTTTTCTAAAAGAAGAACCATAGACGCATCTCTCTTCGACTCCTAAAAACGTATAAGCTCGTCCTCGAAGATCTTAGAATATTATCATTTATTTACGCAGACTCGAGAGTTATCTCGTCTTATTTCCTTCGACATTAATAAGACGATCGGCTATCTTAATTAGTTCGATCGAACATTTTCCGCCACGGTGGTGGCCCACAGTGTGTTCCAAAAGTGTCGAAATCTTCGTTTATCGGGCGATTTGAGCCGCTTCTGTCGTGTTTATTTTCAATTAATCCGAATGAAAAATACAGAGAGGGACGACTCGATTACGAGAAAAGAATCCGGGAGATTGTGGCACGACTCGATTACGAGAAAAGGCCCAGAAGATTCGTATTTTTTCAGATTCGACGGGGTGGGAGGACTTCCACGAGGAATGACGCGATTCCTTGAACGATGCGTGTCGAAGATTCTCCGTGAAAAGACAATGCCCTAGGTCAGAGGGACAACTGAAACGCCGTGAGAGGGTGGGAGTGCGGAGAAGCAGCTCCTATATTAAATCATGGCGAGGCCACTTCTCAAAGTCAGTCCTACGTCGGGCGTTGAAGCAAGGAACTCTTCCCTGGACCACGAGGCATTCTCATCTTGAACCTGTCCTAGTGAACGACGGTTTTAACAGTGACACCGTCGGACGACGTTTAATCCACAGTTCGGAAATAAAAGTAAATCGAGCAATCGAGAGCAAACGATATTTAATAACCCTCTGCGAGCTCTCTTACCGGAGTAGTTCTACACATATACAAACACTCTCTCTCTCTCTCTTTCTCTTTCTCTCTTGGGTAGACCCAGCCGGCTGTAATCCCCTAATATTTTTCATTCAAGGTGGGTGTTGAGAAAGGTGATTCCCTGCTCTCGAAGTGACTCGATTGGAAGAGATTTCTCGGGAATGAAGTTCACGTCGTGGAGTTTTGTGTCGTGCATTTTGGTGTCTATCTTGTTCCTGGCGGTCACTACATCCGGATACCCTGCTAGCAATCCGGAAATAGTGAGTACCACAGTTGGAAATAAACACATACCCTCCGTCGTGACCAAAATTTCGTTCGTGCTTGCACGTTTCGTTCGACTATCTGTTGCTGTGAATCTTATGCGAAACGAGTTTGGAAGTTTTTCAGTAAATGTTCTCGTGAAATAGATATTTTAGAATATGCACATTAAAAGTTTCATGGAAACGAATTCTTTTAGAACGTTCATTTTAAATAACCCTACAAAGTAAATAAACTATTGAATTATTATACGCTTGATTTAGTTGACAATATTATAATTTTTGGCTTGTAATCAGAATAACTATTTAATATCGTTATAATATTATTCATTAAATCATATTCGATACTTTCAAAAATGTTACAGCATTTTTTTAATGTAAATTAACGAAATATCCGTTCCTGTTATAGACAAATTTTTATTTTTAAAATTCATCGAGTCTAGTCGAACCGAAAAAAACTTTTAATCTCAAGAATTCTTCTATATCTATTCTCATTGGAGCTTTTGTAATATGAGACATTTTTTAAAAATAGTAATACATTGTAACAGCGACCCTGGTGAATACCAGGTTCCATTCAGCGAGATCGACCGATCGGTGTTGCGATTGGAACCGCCTACAGTTCAGTCTTGTGTCATTCCGAACCTATCCGCAGAAAAATGACGATTTCGCTGAAGCAACTCTTGAAAACGAGTGTTCGATTAATTCAAGCTTTCGAGTCCTCTAGGAAAATAGTTTTTGAAATCGCTAGCTTGGCAAAACGCATTCAACCACGTGTCGAAAGTAATCGTTGGGCAGCAAGTAGCTCAGGGTCTTTGACTTGCAGGCTTCCGTTCCTCGCCGCAAATAAGTGAGTAGAAAACGTGCAACGGTGGCGCGAGACGGACGGACGTGTCTAGAAAGACACGATCGCGAATTAAGCTTCGCAAAAGCGGCTATCTAGGAATCCCCGGGAGGCGAGACCGTTCTTTTAAAAAGGGGGAGCATAATGCGTACGACGCAGTTCGGAAGTCGCGTGAAAATGATAATTTGTTACAAATCGGCTACGGTTCTGGCAATCGCCGAATGTTATCGTCGAATGGCGCAATAGCATTGCATTGACAAAATAGAGCGGACAGATTAGGGGGAAAACGTACCACACGTGTTCACCGATAATAAAAGTTCGCGTGGATGACATAATCCTGTCATCGATATTCCAATTGTAATGACAAATGTTTGTTTACAAAAATCGAACCCTTGTCGAGTTAGACTATCAATAATCGGTGCTAATTCGTGCGTGTCTATAAGGAATGTTTATACCGGTGGCAGTCCAACCCAGTGATACCAGAAGTGTTATTTTATAAATAATTGTTATTATAAGATCTCGATGATTCGTTATTATAATAAATTTCTGAATGTGTCTCTGGAACAACCAAAGTAAAATGAATAAATCGTTGCACGCAGAATGCGTATGATAGCGTTGCAAGTAGAGGATGGACGTTGATCGTGAGCGATCCATATTGAGTCAACGTCTCCTCTTGTATTGGTATATCTAATCGGACTGGACTGTAGGTGGTGTTAAATACTGTAAACGATGTTGACCAAGCGCGCGAGTAATTTTCGGATAAATTATAATTAACTTCGGGTGCGATTGCCACGGTTATTTATACCCCGGCGACAATGCCGCTGTTCATGGAGTTTTACTAAATCCCGCCAATTGTTTTTGTTAAGATGTATAACTTGCAGGCGATCGAGAGCATGCGACAGATCCCGCAATGGCATTGTCTGCGCTACAGAAAGTTTGACCTGGTGCGTCGCTGTCGGAACTACCGTCTAGGGAGGAAACACTGACAAATACAAAACCGGCGATACCACAGGCCAACGACCAGCAACAAGTCCCGCAACAAGCTCCATCGACCAGCCGTACTGAACGTTCTATTGCACATGTTTAAGTTCATTTGAAACCGTCGAGATTCGACCGAACCGATTAGAATCACTGTAAATTATGGAAACTATGACCTAGCCGAAGAGCAAGAAGCAACATCGCTCGCGCATAGAATTTTACTCCTCATGGCTCCAACACTTAATATCAAGACTGTCGTTGTAAGACTTCTATGCTCGCGTTCGATCCCCTTCTTGAATAGATTAAAAGCATTATGAAAACGACAGAGCTTAATCAATTTCTTGCAAGACTGGCGATCTAAGCTACTCCATGACCAAACACACTGTCTCAGTGGGACTAGCTTCTCTGTTAAGTTATTAATATTATTTGTACTTCTGCGTTTTATAATTATTTGTACAATACCGCATGAGAAACTGTACATACAAATGCGCTTCGATCTCATTAGAAAATGAGAATATGTTCTAGAATAAAATTATGTTTTTTTATTGCACGTGTATCTGTGAGTCACTTACCTGATCGGTCCTAGTATAGTATATTACGCCGTTCCGTATACGTATACTATGTATAATGATTTTCAAGATTTCTTTTTCACTTACCTCTTCCACCAGTCCCCCTTTCAATGTACCCAATTGGTCGTGAAGATACGACGTTGTTTTCTCCTTATCCACAGTTGTCTTGGCTGCTACCATGTTGGCGAAGGCTGTAGCGGGCACGGAAGCATTTGACGACAGTATCTCTAACGATATAGTCACCTCGGATTCTGGTTCAAGTGTTAACAACTCCTGTGTACATGTAGAATATATAAATTTCTTTTTTCGTTACTCCATGAATTCCTGTACGTTATCACGTACCTGATTGGAATCTAAAAAGTATAGTTGCGACTTTTGTTGCCATTTCCTGTAAGCAGGATTTTGCTTTTCTCGAAGATGCGGTATAAAAGTGGCTCCCAGGATAAAACTACTTTTTTCAACAACGTTCTTCCTTGTGTACACGTGCAATGGTTTTTGTGGTGTGAATACATATACTGTAACATGCAATATAATAGTGTCCATTTTGAAATGCCATTTTGTAATTTGTTTAAAAAAGAGAAAATGCAAGAAAAAATAAAATATTTTAAAGTTTCAATAAAAAGGATATACAAACTTACATGAGTTATCAGCGGTAAAAACAGCCATGTAAATAGACTTAGAATCAGCTGCAAGTGTTGTAACCCTCAAAGGTACACTCCACATTAGCGTAAGAGACAAAGTATTCCAAACAGCAATGTGTGTTGTAGAAGTAGTTACCACAAGATGACAGGCTTCTTGATTTCCGAATTCAATCCGTCTAACATAATTGATGTCATAATGAGAATATACATATCATTTGCATTGTTTATCTATTTTACAAAACTTACGTTATTGGTTCATTGTATCGACTGTGAGTAAGACTACATTTAAATGTACAGGTATCGGGTGTCCACATTGTCACGCTAGAATCAAAACCAATACCAACTAATGAACCATCTATTGAGAATCCGGCATCCGTTACGGGTAGATTTCTATAATCTCCTATACTATGACATTGCCAATGTCTTGTCTTCTCTGGAACACATATGACCTTGTAGTTTAATATTACCGTTCATGTCAGCGTATTAGGAAAATATATAAGCTTTACATACTGTACATAGACGTAGACTCAACAAGATGCCACAATTTGAATTTCTTATCTCTGCCAGTTGTGACTGCTAGTATTTCATCTTCGTCGAACGTGGTTGGTTGGAAACGTAACGCATTGACCCCACCTTCGTGTGGAAGTTCAATGGACGTGTTTAATGAAAACCTATTAAAGACATACGTACTATAACGGTTGAATGTCAAAAACTAGCACTCTATACTTACAACTGCTCTTTGACATCAAACATCCAAAATTTGAGTCTGACTTCTATACAAGATAAGTTATCATTCCGTTCTTCGACAGTTGCCATCCAAGTACCGTCATCATTTAGAGCTATTTTCGTAACTTCTGTGTTTACAATGATTATGCTACGCTCTTGAGTTAAAAAATTTTGCGCTGTAATATTTATCTAAAAAAAGACATCAATGATTTAATATATTATATATATATTCGTTTTATATTGAACAAATGAAGCACAGTGTCACTCACATTGTATAATAAACTTTTTGTATGGGTGTTATAAAACTGAACATGCCCAGTGCGACTGTTTAAAACAAGGGAACCAGTACGTGGATCGACAATAAGACCAGCAGGAAACAAATCTTGCGAAGACAAGGCTACACCCCACGTAAAGTTTTGTATTACAGATGTCAATTTCCTCTGTGGATTTACAACTACAATACCTGTAAATTCGAATGGGTATTAATATGAGCCACCCAAAAGAAACTGTGATAGATCCAATATGAATTAATTTAGATACCATTATCCAAAGTAGAAACGGCAACATATAAGTTATCTGGAGCGATGGTAAGATGTTTTATAGGAGCTGGTAATCGTGGGAGAAAAGATTTATTTAGCGGATTCGCTAAAACCCATTTTACTAGTACACATTCTCCTCCCCCAGTGTACATATGGCCACCTACGATTTGTATAAAGTTATAAAAATGTTTAATTGATTCAAGAACTATTACAACTTTGATATTTACCTGATTTACTAAACGCTATTTCTGTTACTGGTAATGTGTGCCAATGATACACTGCTGTGTAAGGCCTTGTTTGGAACAAACCCTTCCATACCACTACACGACCAGTTGAATCTCCTGTGGCAACACATTCTTCTTCTGGATGTCCAGCAATACATGTTGGTATTCTACCAGTTTTGCCCGTTTTATGTCTGTGATTGTGAAACATAATAATTTGTAAGAATTTCTTGTTCAAATCTGTTTCTTAAGTAGACACATATTTTTTTATTGAATTATATACGTACAATTTATCTACAAGATTTCTGGATGGATCTAGAATATGCAAATCTAAATCATGAAGAATTGCTATTAGATTTTCTCCGTGATTCCCAATTATGTCAACATAATATTCTTGAGAATTAATTCTGTAATAATTGATGAAAGCATGTGATAATATAAACAAAAAAATGTATCACTGATATAACTTTACTTACGATAGACAGGTAGATTTTGCACAAACTCCATTATCCAGATCAAACAAAACTACATAGATCAATTTATTACATTTTGAAATATAAGTTATAAGCACTTGACTGAACTCATGTCCTATATGGGTTTTGTAATTTACAATGTGGAAAGTTTTAACTTTTGGTTCTTCTTGGAAGTTCAGTTTCTATACAAAAATAGAAATTCATTAATGAAATTGTAGAAATTTTGTATGACAAAGATGATGCTTCAGATTATTGAAAAATACATTTAATGTTCATACTAATTTTTTAGTGATAATGCCACTTTGACAACTCCAGAAATTCAGTTCTCCATTCTCTGTACAGGCAATAATGTTATTAAAATTTCCAGGATGTACAATTAATCCAGTAATCCGATGACTTGCTGGCTCCAATTCCTTTACGAAGTCTCCGGTTTGTGTGCTATATGCCCTTACGTAATGTTTCCATATTATATACAATATTCTGCAACAGTAAGATCCAATGCTATTTGAATTATGTTATTAATGATTTATATTATTTATATACATATTCCCACTTAAATAAAAATCAGTTTTATATTCACTACACTTGTTTTCCTATAACTAATCAATGGACACTCACAAAAGGTTAATATTGTAATATGACTTAAAAATGAAAACTTACTCTCCATCGTGAGAAAAGATCGGTCGATGATCGATTATGCTACCTCCACCTTTTCTTGTTAGAACTAAATCGTCTACATCTATCACTTCGATCGGTGCTGATGCGCCTGATGCATTCAACTTCATATGCATTTTGACACCTGATTCCTGATGGACTAGCACGTTTAATGATTGCACTCGGTATTATATACTCCATACATCAATATTACATTCACGTACAACATCCATGCATAAAAATTTATATTTTGACAATTGCACGTGGTGTGTAACAAATAACCCAACTAAACATCGACCACATGGTTTGGTTGCTTGTTTTGTATCCATAAATATCGACGAACTTCATACGACATGGTGCAAACGTACATGAGAAAAATACCTGAAGTAATGCAACTTCACACCAAAAGAATATTACAGTTTCCTTCTTATACATACTGAATCGAGTCTTTTTTCTGTATTTATTGATTGCAATACAAACTTAAAAATTAATAATAATAAAATAAATAAATTAATAATAAAATGATTTCTGTCACTCATATCCACAGACGCGTTGTACGAATAGGTTGAACACCTTATAGTTTTCATGATCCAAGTCGACTACTTTACCGACCTCGAACTCGACTGATTCTAGCGACCTCTTCTCATAAACAAGAATTCAAAAACTATTCTTTGATAGATTTGGAAGCAAATTGACATTTCCCGCCAAATTGATCGTAAGTTATCCAAATAATTATTTGAATACTATAATAAAAAAAAGTATAAAAAGCAGACGTAAACTTGGAGGTATAAGGATGCAAGGACAAGCAAATGGATTGGGGAAAAAAGTACTGTACGCAAGCGAAGTTCAAGTAAAGATTTTATTGAAATATAAGGAATCTGTACCAGACAGAACTAAAATTACCGTTGAATTTGGTACTACCGGGGTTCACGTATCGTATATGCCTGCGTAATCGCTGAGTAATCTTCATTATTTTTTTTCCTCCCACGTGTGTATCGTTATAAGTAGTCTGAATATTCTATAAGTACAGAAACAATATCGAAGGTACGCGCACAGTCTATCTCAAAAGTTCTAAAGCTAAAAAGGATCTCCTCTAGACCTGCAGTTGCGGTTTATAAAGTTTACACGTACAACTTAAAGGGGGGGTGGGGGGGTTTATTTCGGTCTCTATTTACAATAACTGAATGGTCTAAAGCTACGCGGTCCTCTCGCTCCGTTATCATAGAGTGTTTAAGTTTCTTGACTATGTACAATTTTTACAAGTATACCTCTCGCCTCTCAAATATACAGCATTACATTACAACAATTTAAACGTGCACTCGGTTCCGCGTGGTTCACGTTAGCACGGAACTGCAATCTAAACGTACACAAAGAGCCCCATCATCGAAAATGATAAACCGCTATTTCTCTTACCGCATTGCTGACGATCGATTGTATACACTATACAAAATATTTAAATGTGGTTTCGTGGAATACTTCGTTTTTCGTTTATTTTTGTTTTTCTTATTCACAGTCAGCGCGATTCAAATACTCGAAAATCATAGGAGAAACGTTTTCTTAACGGGACGCATTTGCATACACAGTCTAACGATACTAATACTAAGAGAAATTAAAATTCTAACATGAATTTTTTTGTTTATATTAGTTACAATAAATAAGCAACGTATATGTTCGATAAGTTTTACATTTACATTAATTAACTATATCACGGATTTTTTTACTGGTTCTGAATGTGCACGCGAACTGGGTACGGTGCGAAGTCGTTTAAAAATTAGAAACGATGCTCTCCGAGTTTACGGCGTCTGTTGTTTAGGTATTCCATAAGAGATTAGAATTCGGTTGTTGTACTCGGTTTTCTGTTCAAAGATGACCGTTCGAGGTAGGAACATCTATTTGGTGACACACTCGACAGACAACCCATCTATTAAATAAAATGGTTCTCTAGATATGCATAAAGATTCTTTGATACCGTTGGAATCGGATCGCGCGCAGCGTTCTTACTAATATTCTGTCTCTCGCTCTCTCTTTTTCATTGTCACACTCATTCAGTGTCTCGTCGTGAAATACTTTATGCACGGTCAGACCCTTACATGCAAATAAGAACAGCCGACGGTATAAAAAAATGCAACAGCTAACATTAAATAACACAAAATCAATTCATAACAAAACCGGAAACTGATACAAAAACATGTTCACAATGATTTACAATGTCATCGCGTGCTATGCGAGTCAACGAGCATGCACCCACATGAAACTTGTGATGCTATACAACAACCTGATGAAATCAATGAACGTGTATGCCTCTAAACGAATCTAAAATCTACGAACGAATGATACACCCTCTTTGTGACGCGAGATTACTCACTAAGAAAAAAGAAAAAGATAAGGAAATTGAAATATTTATCAGTAAATACAATATAATATCATACTGCTGAAAAATACGTCGCCAAGATAGTAACGTTAATTTCATTTTTTATACTTTGAAAAAGTTCATTCTCACTTTCTCTCTCGTGTTCTCTTTCTCTCTTTTCTTGTTCCTTTCAAATTCGCTTCTACGAAGCAGTTTCGATTATTCTAAAAACGAATTAGAAAAATATTTCTTTCCAGATCTGTACTATTTACCATGGTAAAATTTGAAATTAATTTACTAATTTATACATTGTTTCCTCTGCAGAATTCTAATAGAAGCGGAAATGCAATTAATAAGAAAACGTATTTGCCCTTTTTAAATGTTCTTTTCAGATCTTTTTTAGTACAGAGTCAAGGTCTATCAAGCGTTTGTTTTTAACATACAAGTGTATATCACACGACGCGAACCATGATGTATCATTTCCATGAGAAATTGTCTCGCAGCTATTAGTCTCCATCGTTTCATATCGTTGATTTACACTGTCTTCAAGAATACTCACGGATATCGACGTCCTCGAATCGAAACTGTCTGCAATTTCATTCGGAACGACACAATACCGCCAACTGAGCAGTGAAACTTTTCAGTGAATATTATATATCTTCAATTCTTCGCATAACTACGAAGTTCGTCCGTATTTTAGAAAAGTTTTAATCGCCTCGGCTTAACACTCGACGTGTGAAAATAATTTATATGTACAAGTAGTTCAAATCTTAGCTCATATTATTATTATAACGTCCCTAGTCAAAGAATGTTAATAGATATCGCTCTTAGGATCCCTCTCCCGGAAGAATCCTTTTTCAGTCTTACATTCCCTGATAGTAACGGTTTTTAGATTCACCGTGACGTCCGTAATGAACACCTGATCGGCAACTGGATTCCTCGCGTGCCAGTAATCCGTACCAGGACTGGACAGAGGGACATACATGTCTGTCTTCGCGATTTCAGTTTGCTTCATACTCGATGTGTTGTTAATATTACTACTATGATTGTTACTATGACTATGGTGTCCATTCACGACGGGCGTTAACCTGTTGTTGTTCGTGTAAGAGTCTGTGGGACTGGGCGATTTGTGACCGTTGGTGTCGACCGTCACAGCTCCGTTCGACTTCTCCTGTTTTTGTTCTGACAAATGCCTCTTTTTGGTAGGCTGCTCTAAAGGCGTGTCTATTTGAGGCGACAAAGGTGCTGGTGGTGCACGCGGCAGCGAGGGTGGAGGACCGTGAGGTACATCAGCTTCAGGACGCTTTTTATCCTGCACTGCTGGAGCTGGTGTTGTCGGCACCGCAGGTAACGGTTCCTCCGGCGTCGACTTGACGCTGGACGATGACGGCCTCCTACCATTAATTTTGTGACTCTAAAATGAATAAAGCGCGACTTTAAAATCCTAATACGCTAGTAATTTTCATTAGAGTACGAAATTCGAACTTTTACTATCGTGCGTAAAGCTACTTAGAAATAAATTCAAAAAATTATAACTCACGTGATAAGTAGGGGACGTAGAATTTAGAGGTAATAAACGAGGAATCTTATTTGGAGGTGGACTTCCGCTGCCGCTACTAGGACTGCTTGTGGTGATAGTAACACCGATTTTCCCAGACTCCTTGCTGAGAACCTCGGCCTTCCTCTTCGTACCCGTTGGCTCCTTTCTTGGTAACAATGGACTGTCTACACTGCTATTGGAACTATCCGAGTCGACGCTGAACGCAGATGCTGATAATTCCGGAGCGATCGGCGATTCGTGTCCATCAAGGGAACTCGGAAGTGTATCTTCGTCGGGTGCAACAGGATTCAAGCGAGGAGCCGATGTGCTACCGGTAGTGGATTCGTCTTGACTGTCTTCACCAACCCTTTCATCCCCACCGGGCTCTTCCTCAACAACCAAATTGGCGAGAACTTGATCCTATGTGAACGAAAATAAACATTTGAAAATTTGTTATGACTACTTTCATTCGGATAACAATGTTTATTTAGGTATAGAAACGTTTGTTTTGAGTATACGGAAAGTCCTCATACATTGTATCTGGTGTCCCTCCGCCTAGGTCTTCTTGTTGCTACATCCCCACCTTTTTGACTTTCTTCGTATAATTCAATTAACCTGACGTCTAAAATGTTTTCTTCTGGTTCCCACGTGTTGTATCTGAAAGGAGAAAGAAAGTTGTATTCTTGTTCCCTCTGAATTTAAAGCTATTCGTAAGCGAACCGCTTTTATTCTCGACTTACTTTTTACTCCATCCTTTCCATTTTACGAAATACTCCACCTTGCCCTGCGAACATCAAACGATTTTTTTAAAAAATTGAATGCATCGAAGTATTAATATTAAGCTAAAAATTGCGCTACCGTTTGAGTAATTAATAACATTCGAGTTCGTTTACTATTCGTACTTTAGATCGGAAACAGAATCGATTTTCAAATTCAAATGACCGTCTGCTTTGCCGTTGCATTTAAACGTGAACTCTTGTGTTTTCTTTCTAGTAACTTTTATCCCGCAACATCGTGTTTTAACAGTTATCGACAGTGTTTAGGATCCAGAAAACCCTAAAAATTCGATTGAATTGCGCAGCATGAATTTCAGTGCTTCGAACCGGTGCATACGTGATATAGATACAAACGCATCGGGATGAGAGAAGGCGGACGACTCTAATTTCTACGGGTACATAACCTATAAAACCGGTGGAATAAAAAAGGGTGGTTGGCGCCAGTCGTCGTTTAAGCGACGACGTGTCAGAATCGAGCCGATCGCAAAGATCCGTTTCGCGCGTCTGCGTCAAACAGCGGATCTTCGAATCCATCTCATCGCATACGGTCGATAAAACGGGCGGCGTTGACTTCGACGAGAGCCGCAGATACAGCTCACCTATTGGCCGTCGGCCAGCGAACGAAATCGTGCCGACCGGTCGCGGTGCGCAGTCAGTGTGACAGTTGAAAAACAATGACATAACCGTGCAGGTATAGGACAGATTGGTTTATCACGCATGAGCCGGCCGCAGCTGAGATGTATCTCACGTGTTCTACGTTGACTTGCAACGTGTCGGCGTCGTTACACCGAAAATTGCCGGCCCACGATATCTACACCGATTCTTTAAAAAAAATCTACTCCAATCGTTTCAAACATCTTCGGTTCTAGTTTCGAAAATTTTGCGTTCACCATTCGTGACACCATTACGCGAGTCAGATTGACTGATCTTCTTAGTGACATTTCGAAGATCGAAGACTCGAATAGTAAGAATTCTTAAACTTTAAGGAAACTGTATTGCACCAGGAAAAGCATATCTGTTCGTGTTCGACGAGAGATATCGGGAAGCATCGTATATGGTAGAAATCGCTACGGGAGGGGCAGAAATGTTGGGGCGATAGATGGGAAAGAGAAAGAGATCGCCGTAGAGGGGACGAAGCGGCAACGGCGCATAGACAAACAGAATCCGTGTTGTGGCGCTACCTGACGGTGACGGTTCGCATTACTTTTACTTACTCGCTTTTCCCTCTTCTTCGTAATCCGTTCCGCAGCATAAACTCTGTCACCCAGATCCATGATTCTTTTAATCCTTGCTCGCTAGACGTACGTAAGATCCGTTGGTATATTCGTTGAAAGTGTGATGTATGTCACTAACAAACCACACAGAGCAATGTAACAACATATGTACCGACACTGTATAGGCGATACTTCAAAATCAGGATGACACGAGTAAACACACTGGAAACAAACGTCGTTTCACAGAATGGGAACGCAGTCGCCGATTTCACTGAACGCAATTGGGAACAACACTATTGTCGTTTCATCGACGACGGTGTTGCACGCATGCAATACGATGACCACGTGTTTTTGAAGGGGGCGATCAATTCGATCGCATCCTCGACGTGTGAAACATTTTCAATGAAGATCATGTGAAACGAAACGCGGCACGTGTTGTCTCGTATACGAGAATACTCGGCATCGCTCGATGTTTTCCGCACTGTTCGGTGTCGACCGACGGTGATTAGAGTGGCTGCTATTTCAGCGGCGAGGCGGCAATGCGGCCGATGTTTTTTGAAAGGTTAGTAGTCGCGGTAAGACCGGCGAACACGAGCGAAGTCGGCGTACACGCACGTCCCATCGGAAAGGGAATTTCAGGCGGCACAGTTTGCGCGCCGCGAGTTCTTCACTCGTGTGTTCACCGCACAATAATCCCGCGTACGATTATAATCGAGTACAAGGGCCGCTCGACTGCAGTTCCGTCTGTTTTCGGGTTCGTGTTAGGAGTTGGTGTCTATATTGGCCGGCAACACGTTTTCTGCTTCTGCTGGTGCTGCTGCTCCCTTCGTGCGAGATCGGGGCTCGTGACGTCAGCGATTCCCCCTCACCTCGTAAACACCAAACATGGCCGTCGTACGGATATACGCTGGTCGAGTGCGTCCCAAGCTGATGGTGAAAACTAACGTCGATACAGCCACTAGAGACCCGTGGAACCGCGGAAGATACGCGAAAAGACGTTTCCAATTCTCGTAATTATCAGACAGCTTCTATATATGACAATATTCCAAAACTGGAGCGATCGACTCGTAGCGTCTAGCACATTCTGCGGATCGAGGCCGACTAGAGCCGAGGTCTGCCGAACTCCCCTTGCAAGCTTAGTGGACTCGCCCGACCCGCTCGAGGTTAGGAGAGGAGGGGGTAACAGTAGAGAAAGAGCACTAAAGGGGGAGGCAGAAGCTCTCAACGGTACGTGCGCCGCACACGAGAAAGAGAGAGAAATAGTGGGAGAGGGAGAAAGAGAGATGGAAGGCAAAAGAAGGAGAGTGTGATTGAGTGACCGAGGACGAGAAGGGCAGGGAGAAGAGGGAGAGAAGAGCAAGCGCAATGGAGGTAGAAAAGAGAGACGGCGCGACCAGGAGCGCCGTCCTCGGAACAAGAAAGCTGCCTGCCTGCTTGCCTGCCTGCCTGACTGCCGCCTGCCTGCTAGCCAGCCACCCCAAGTTCCCTTCTAGGTACGTGTATGCGTGTGTTTGTGTGCGAGAGCAGTCGATGCGACGTTGCCAACTCTATTTCGTCGATAGCATCGCACCAAATGTCACTGGCGTACTACCGATAAATTCCAGAATTCACCGCGCCGCTTTATCGTTCACAATATATCGTCGCAATCAAAACCGCGATCGATCCACGCGTATCGGCACGGACAAACGCACGGTCTTATCCTCGATGTCCTGCGAATCGGTGTGTACCGCTTTTGATGTGCATTCGCGCCCACGATCTGGCAACACTGTATCCTCTTGCGACGTACTGTCACACACTAGACAACACACTACCGCACGGCATCGGCTGCCGCATACAATGCTTTTACAGTAAACAAGACGCTCGATAGAGATTATTCGACGCGATCACGAACACGGTATTACGATAATACACTGTCTATCGAACAGGAGGCGACGCGGAATGGAGCGCGTCGCAGTAATCGGGCGGTGCTCGTCTCGTGAAAACGTGTGCAACCTCAACGGATCCCGAAACGAGAGTGTCCTCTCCCGTGCTGACGAACACACAGGGAGAGCGGTCGGGCAATGGAAAAGGAGAGGGATAGAAAAGGAGTGAGAGAGCCAGATGGGAAGCTTGCTCTTCTCCGTCCTTCGGCGTAAATAGCAGGATAAAAAAGCCACGACGGTGGCGCCCGATTGGTGGGATTCCCGAGGCGCTACCAACGCTCCGAACCACGCTCGCCGAGTCGACCAATCGGCGAGTGGCACGGCCCACGTCGGTTCCCCTCGACTCGTCGAGAAGGCGGGATTACGGACACAGTCGTCGGTCGACGGTTCGGTTCGAGGTCCCCAGCGCCGTGCCGCGCGCGTCCCTGCATTCCCCTCGACGCGAGCCTTTCCGTTTTGCCGCAACTTTCCCCCTCTGTGTGTTAAAACAGAGACAGACTCACTCTCTCCCCCTTTACCATCGCTCTTCCCCTCGTGTAGCGAACCCGAATAGCGGAGCGCTACCGTGGCACTGGTCTCTCCGTCGCGTCTCCTTCTCTCTCTTTCTCCTGAACGCCCACGGGTGTGTAAAGTCATATACACTGTGTATGCGAGCGTAGGGCGGGCACATGGGTGAGGGGAACGAGCGGCGAGCGTATATATGTATTTTATACATAGGAGCGCACATCGTCACAGCCATTTCCCCTCTCCGTACCCGCGTCGGCGGTGGCCGACCACCGTCGGTATTGAAATATCCTGGCCCTGGAGAGCCAAGTCGTGCGGCGATGCCGCTTCTCTTTATAACCACTACGCTTTGCACCGAGACCGATCTTCCTCTCCCTTTGCTTTTCCCCACCCTTTCTCGTTGCATGCACCCTTCCCCCCTTTCACCGTTTCTTTGTCTACGTTTTCCGCCCTTCTCCCTCCCCTTCTTCTCCCTTCTTCCTTTACCCCTTACTCGCAACGCTTCGCGATCCGTCTCTCTTTCCCGATGTGCCCTTGCTCGGACGGTTCGGTATGGAATAGGAGTCGCGTACCCTCTTCCGAGAGAGTTTCTATTCCTCGTCCTCTCTCTTTTTCATCCGACCGGAGAGAGTCTTTCGCCTCCCTTTAAAGCGCGATCAGTTGTCGTTCGAAACGCTGCGCAACCCTACGGCCGCCGCACAAAAGCAAAAATGCGAGCGTGCGTAGCGCGCCGTTCGGTTTCTCGGTCCGCGCGCGACATTGCGCAACCATGGAATATACAAAGCCAACGTAGATGGCGTGCCACGGGTACGCAGCTTATGGCAGGTCCCCTCCTTTTCCTTCTTTTCCCCGCATAAGTAATGCCCTCCTTTGTTCTTCGTCGTCATCGTTGCTGCTGCATTTCGCGCCTCCAAAGCAACCTCCTTGATCTCTTTTCTATGCGTGCCTCTAGGGCTCGTTGGTCCTCGGCCGACGCATAACCGAACGTTTTACAACGCCGACCCAAATTTGCAAACGTAGTAACACTCGGATTTACATAACGATGTATATCCCGCGATTTCATCGCTCCGATACAGTTGCATCGTTCAACGTATTAAAAACAAAGCCGACGTTTCACAGATCTGTCCATCGGGAAACACGATGCGTACACGGTAATCGCGGATAGATACTGTAGTAAGACTGTTTCAGGTTTAGAATACGATATCTGTTGCGCAATGCAAATATTAGCTGCATTCGTATTATCTTTCGTTACCGTGATTAAAACTTTAATCACGCTAACAGCGGAAGTTCCGCGAAATCAGCCGAGTTACCACTCTTCGGACATGTTGAGTACGGTGTATCGATATCGTAGATCAATTGGGTGCGCGCTCATCTTAAAAGAACAACGTTCTGTGGCTCGCGAACGTTGCACGAATTCGGTAGTACATTCGAAGCGCAGCGGGCGAATGGGACCGTTCGGGACCGTTCCTATAGCCTAAGCAAGTAGATACGATTCTATTAAAACAAATAAAGTGGCTACCAACAAAAGGCAGTCGGTCGGTTTTTGGAATAACCTGAGAAATAGATAGTTTACCTTTAGTTATACGGACACTGTCTACCAAGTTAAACGCGCGTCTCGGTTTTGCTGGCACCTTTTTGACAAAGATTTCCATTGCCTCCTGGCATAATCGTGGCTCTATTTCTGCGATAATTGTTGTCTTTCATCTCCTGAATGCACGCCTGTGCTCGTCGCGCGCAATTTATGCAACATCACGCAATTCTCTTTCAGCAGCTACAGTTAATTCGCTACCCTCATAACACAAACTGCGCACGTGACGCGGACGTCACTTCACGAAACCTATAGCCAGAAAAATGGCGGCTGTTTTACATTGGCCGGCTCTTATTGTTTAGTGCATCTTTTGCATACGCAGCGTCGAGCGGTAGAACGGTTGCAATGCAGCAAGCCAAGAGATGGCGGCGAGCTAATTAACTGTGCAAGAGTACGATAAGCAAGGGCGAGCATGCATGAAACGGTAGCGCAAGAGACCGAAAGATATCGCGGGGAACGATGAGGCCACTGATGATTCGTGTTTCTAATTATGCGGGCAGTCCATCGTGGACATGGTCGCATCGGGAAGCAGGGCGTGGCGCCTTCAACGTGGACCCAAATTGAATGCTACGTCGTTTATCCTCCGAAACTTCGCTATCGAGAATCGGAACCGCTCCTGCATCGCATGGCATTCTCTCGTGGATCCCTAGAATGCCGTGCATCTGTACCGTGCCAGCTCCGCGAGCTATCCGATTCCTCGAACCCATTTCTCGTGTTTGGGGTTAAAAAGACGGTTCACAGGTTAAAGACCGTCGTGCAGATCCGTGATCAGTATTAGCGAAGAATGCGTAGCCTTTGGATGCAAACCTGGTACCGACGTTTTAGGTATGTAGAGCATCAATTCCGCATTATGGGCCTTCCGCGATATAACGAACATGATAATGAAGCAATTTGGGTTATTGCGGGCATCGCATTTAAATTGCACAGATATCTCCGGTCAAAGTGAAATGAGATTCCTGGAAATCGCGAGAACAAGACAGTTAGAAAGCACGGGGAATACGTCTTCGCCGTTAGTAGGTTAAGTACAGCGCCGGGAATATTGTATCCAAATGTATCGAAATCTATCGATCAGGAACGCTGCATAGCCTCGATAACGTCAGCGTGCGTCACATATTTCTAATGTTTCCAGTCTCGGTGTTTATCCGTACGCGATAAATCGTTTCGTAATATAATAAACGAGCGTACACGGACCAAGCCTGTAAACCAATTTTTCTTTTTTTTTTTGTTACTTAACGAAGGGTCATAATACCGTTTGACAAGACGATAATCGTATGGTCCGTTTCAAATTGTTCAGTGTTACAACAACGGAACAATCGATAGGAGCGCGCAGCGGTGCGCGTAACATGTATCGAATATATCGCTCCTAGATCTCCGTCTAACAATAAGCGAGAATCGAAATGCGTGTATCGAATTGCAATGGTCGTTCCAACGGTCATTACTGCCCGTAGTTGGTGCGGCTGCGTGCAGCGATACCGGTGTAAATGTTACGGTGAACAATTTGTTTATGATGGACTCGCGTGTAATGAAGAACTTGGCGGCAAGCGTACGCGTTCGATCGCGTAAAAGAGTGGTACGGCAAGCGGGGAACGGTTCGAGAGCCGTGGTTTGGTCGTAGCACGGCGGAGCCTCGGGAGAGACCAGCCAGTCGGGTTCGTGCAGCTTCCAGGTTGGAAAAAGTGACCATTTAATATCTCCGGAACTAATTGCGATATCGACGTGAAACTTTCCACGTATTGTTCCTTGTCACGTTTCATGCTTATTTATGCAAGTCTGGTCCCGAAACGGCGAGCGCTTTTCGAGATAATTGAAATTTTCGGTCAGAACGGTGGAGACATCACCGATCGTGTTTGCGAGCTATACGCGGCACATATCTCGACACAATGCAGGTTAATATGTTGCAAACGAACGGTTTTTACCGTTTCTCCCGAGAAACGGCAAAATTTACCTTGGAAATTATTTTATTAATATATCAAGAACTTCTTTTCCCCTTATCCGCCATTTTTCTCGGTTACTTCGATTCCGGGACGCCATTTTGAACAATTACAGGAAACCGACCCAAATCTGAAAACGTGTAACACTCGGATTTACATAACGATGTATATTCCGCGATTTTATCGCTTCGATACAGTTGCATCGTTCAACGTATTAAAAACAAAGTCGACGTTTCATAGATCCGTATTTTTAATTTTGAACAATTACAGGAAACTTAATTCATATTGCAGGCGATTTCGAAAGTTTTCATTAAGCGCTCCGATCGATCGTTTCGTTTAGCGCGGCACGCGAGTTATCGACTTTTTCCATGTCCATGTGTGTATTCCGTAATTTGTAATTACATCGCGGATGCATTATTGCCGCGTGCACGCTGACGCCGGGAACTGAATCTAATGGAACAAAAGGTTATATCGAGTTATTGTTCTTCTTATATAGAAAAGATCTATATTTGTGTGAAACGTTACGAACGATAACGGTAAAATATTAATTACGCGCCGACCATTTATAACTGCGATATTCTACGTACTTACGCGGAGAAATGATAATCCGTGTGACCTGTTTCTAGGATCTCTGAAACATGCAGAAGCTTCTCCAGTGCTTCTGCTATTTTTTCTTATTTCACCTCGGTTTTTGATCGCGTTCATTAAAACGCAAACGATTCTTCGCAGGATGCAGCTTGATACTGATATGTTTAAATATACTTGGCGGATCCACGATGACCCAGATGTGTCTTACGATATAAAGCAATTATTCATGTTCCCCATTTCGATGTGCCGGTGCATCGGTCCGATTAATTTTCGAAAAAGTATCCAACGGCTATCTGTTCGGGAGCCATGAAATTTTAAGCTTGCATCGCACGTTCGTTCGTCAGAAAAGGAAATTTTCGAACTTCGATTTGTCGCATCGCGTCCATCGATTTTCACGTTATTTTCAGAACGATGTAACGTTACGTGAGCGGCGATCAGTTACAGATTGCGAGGACATATAATTGATTTACTAGGTTTTCGAAGTTCTTACGTTTAAGGCGTACCTTTTATTAATCCTAACGAACCGAGGGGGACGCGTTTCTTTCTTCGTTCGAGAACAATCGCGACCGTCAACGCGGCACTCGCAAGCGTTAAATCAACAAATTCGGATAAAGTTTTATACAAAATCGTGGACCTTTCTCTAATTTCCTATATATTTCTGTAGTTTTAGGATCTCGTTCGCGGAAAGATCGATCATCGGTCCGAACGGTAAAAACCGCCGAGCAAAATTGTGAAAGCTTGGAAACAGCTTCTCAAAGCAAGAATCGCAGCCGTACGCTGTACATAAGAAGGATTTAGTACCAATTCGTTGCCGGGCCTCGATTATCCAACGAATCCCGATTTAACCGGACCGCCTCGGCCCCGATTAAGTCGTTTAATCGGGCTCTCCCGGCGCACTTCCATCGAAACAATACACACGCGCGCGCATTTTGCAGTCAAAGGGAACCTCATTAAATCTCTTCCTGCCGGGGCGTACAAAGCGTACTGAAAGTTTTTTTTTTGTCCCTCTCCGCGGCGCGGCGTATTAAAACGTTTCAATACCATCTGGTGGAAGTGCAACGGCCGGGGACTCGTGCAATAATTTCGGATGGAATCGTAATGGCAAACGCGCAAATGAAGATGTTCCCGTTAGGCTGCCGCGCGAGGATTAACCCATTGAAATTTTTTAATTAGCGCGACCGAACAATGTATGCTTTGCTTTCACGCCGATGGAAAGCTTCGGCTTTACAAAATGGATAATTTAAAATAAAAGTGGGCGAACGGAAATCATTAAAATTGTATAAAGTCAAAGGTGACATGGAAAGTGATCTTCCATTTTCAACGTTAATAATACAATTCCATTAGAATATAACTTGATTACGGATAGCAGTGTGTGCTCTGCTCTATTCCGAAGCCTGAAAAGTCTTTTAATCTTTGAAAAATTAAAATTGCATTCCTGTTCGGGAATGCAGCCGCGCTTAACAGCTACCGCGAATAACACGATTGTATGAGTAAAGTAGAAACCTTCGTAAACTGTGTTGCATTTCAGGTACTTTGGGAATCCCGTTAGGGCGAACCTGACAAAAGTGTAAATCCTATAATTGCACCTTAAGAAGACGGACGCAGAACCCCTAATTTCAGGTAAGGCGCTTTCCCTTTCCTTCTCATATTCTAATCTCGCTTGAGCTGCATAAAATTCCACTAATGTTTCTCGAAAACCTTGCAGGGCCTGTTCGAGCGCCGCGTTACGAGGACACCGTGAAAAATTCTGCTTGCCACCGAATGGTGCCATTTTGTATCTCCTAATTAAGATGTCCCACCTCGAGCGAGCGGACCCGAACTCCTTACGATTAAAACCACCGATAAGGGCACACCGGGGGCCGATGGTAACGCGGAGCTCCCTTCTCGCTCGCCGCGGTCGCGTGCATCGTAGGTGCATAAACTGCTAATAATATAACATAAAAACGTCTCGGGACTTGTTAGCGAAGGGTCGCGCCTCGGTAACGAGCCATTTCGCCGTGAACATAACGCGACCCCCCCGTTTCATTTCAGGTGGTATCTGGATCGCGATAGGCGGTCAGGGTTCGCCGTGTGATCGAGTGGCGCCGGTTTGGCAGCGATTCGTCAAGTACGCGCGCAGACACCCGGTAGACGAGTACCTACCCACGTAAGTTCGATTATTAATTCAGCGGCGCGGCGCAGAGGCTTGGCGCAATGCACCGAGCTCTTTATACGGAGCGGCGAGCCGCTCTTCGTGCGAGAGTGCCCGTGCACCGTCTGTGCACAAGCGAGAGAGACGAGAGCCGATGTGTGCGAGGCGTGTGCACGCGCGGCGACGGCGACTCGCCGCGATGTTACAACCGAACGACCGAGTGTACGTCGCCGCGTTATCGGGCCCGTGTTATCGCGCAAACTCCTCTCACGGCGCTTAAACGAGCCTTGCTGCCTCGCGCGGATCCGCTCCGCGCCGCGCCGCGCCGCTTCGCTTTGCTTTGCTTCCTTTGGTTTGCTTTGCTTTGCCTTGCTCTCCCACGTACGCTGAAAATCCTCTAAGCAGCCTCTGCTGATTAGCCGACAAGAATCGTCTTCGTCTGTTTCATTTGTCCCTCTGCTGGCCTGAACTTCAGACACGGAGTCTCAGTTGCTTGGAATGTTCGATCCTTTCCTACCTCGGCTTTAGACAGGAAGCAACTTTGTAAAAATGATTTCTGCCCCATTTTCCACCACATGACTATCATTTTCTTTTAGTTTATTGTTCTGTAAAATAATGTCCGAAAGGCTGAATTCGCCTAAAGATCCGTTGTAGACATGAAGTCTCAGTTGAAAGAACTTCAACGAAGGAATAGACGTGTAGTAGTATCTAGATTGGTTTTGGCATTGAAGGTGGAGATGATGACTAATTGCGCAATCTCGTTATAACATGGATACGTCCACGCGTGCTTCGTTGACCGTCGCGTTTTGCAGGCAAAATTTCAATTATGTAATTTGTATTGAATGGATCCAATGATTTTCCGTCCAGGTTACTTTGGTACGGTACTATAGGACGAAACGCAGTATAGTGCTTAAGCAGAAGTCTTTGACTTGATGATAATTATTGTTGTAGTAATGCGAATGTGGTAAGTTACTACAGAGCCGTGGATCATCGGTGGTATACGTTGTTTGGAAAAATTAACATTGCTGTTGATGTATTAACCGTTGAACGTAATCGTTCACATTACCGTAAGAACAGACTTACGATAGTAATACACCATTATCTTGCTCGATTTTGAAGAAGACACTACCGAGATCTCTGCGAACTTCGGGAAAATCTGAGAGCTCGGGCACCATATTTACGGCACTTGTCGCGAAAGGAAGAAGGGAAGATTATACTAATCGAGGTCTCTGAAATTTGTTGAAGGACAGCTTCAGTTATCGCCAGTAATGATTCCGAAGTTCGCGCAAACCGCTCACGATTCAGGATGATAGATGTTGAGTTCCTGATCGATTCGGAGAATCATTAAAAACTCGGGGAATAATAATGGGTGGTCGTTAGTACCGTAGTTAGGTTTTTATCACAATAAATTTCCTCTCTCTAATTGAGCATTAGCATATCTACTCGGACAACAAGCGTTTTAAATGAGTCGAACGTTGATTACAGAAGTAGGTGAAAGACAGGCAGAAATTATAATGAGATGCCGATTAACTAACCATTTGAATATTTCGCCATTCTTCCGTTGCTCAAAAACCAACGGTATCTACCATTTTCTTAACGCGTTTATTTCACTAGTCGAAGTACCGTTTTTATGCATTTACGTTAGATACACGTATGCTTAATTACTTAATAAATTCAGCAAAAGAAGAAACAAGTTTCCACTCGTTCAGACTCCCCAAATCGGGCTATGCAAATGTAAACGTGATTTCTCAGCCGCAATCCCGTAATCGTAAACGTTTCCATACATCGTTAGAGATATCTGTAATAAGTGTTGCAGAATGCGAATTAGGCTCATTGATTATCCCCATTTCTATGCAAACGACATTTAATGGAAAGGCGTTCCCATCGCTTCGTTAACAACTCAGATATCGCGTTTCATCAATTACGCGCACAGCGAAGTTTATAATATCATTATAACTTGAGGAGGTGGCTCTCAAGCTTCCATTGCTTCGGCAACGTTAGCAGATAGTGGCTATACCACAATTAAATGATAACTAATCGAGGAAAGGCAGTTAACTACGGCCGGATCGGAAGCAAATATATTTAAAATTCGTTCGAGTTCGCGTCTTCGCGCCGCATAAAAATCTTCGCGTAATCGGTTAGAGGTCCAAGACGGCTTTCGGGTGGCACCTGAAATTTACGAATGTCGAAAACGGCTGCTGGCTGGCAGTTAGCCGCGCGGCGGTGACGCGTGGGAGGAAGCCCGAGGACGTTCCTTTTTGTTGTACGAAGAATGTCGCGTGAGCGCACACACGCGTGTTCCGTTTGTGATGGTGCTGGCGCGCGCGACTGTGTGCACGATAAATAGAGAAAATGTGCGGCGACGCGCGATAAATACCGTTCGGTCGTATCAGCGTCGAAGTGACGGCGCACTTGCTCGATTTTGAAGTAGGTACACGATCCGCCAGAAGCTTTTTCGCATTCGCGGATATTATCGTATGATAGCCTTTACTCGGGCTAGTTGGATGTTGCATGTAACAGGAAATGTCGTTTACACTTTAGTACACTCATGAGTTTCCATCCGAAGTTCCCTCTTCGGTGCCATTTCCAAGTCCGCAGTGTTTCCATTTTGTCAATCCTTGTGCACCACCTCGACGATCTTCGCGCCATTAGAGCTTTGTTGTATCTACTTTAGAATATGCCAATTTCATATCTATAGATTAAATTGATTCATCAATTCTCGGCAAGTTCCTTCGGATTTTGCTCCACCGGGTTATTTTGGAGTCGTCTGCGTTCCCATTTTCCCAAGTCTACCCGTTCCTCCGATAACGATTGTCCCATTAATAATTCCACTGAATAAGTTATTTTTGCAGAGAAAATTCACTTGCCGGTCTCTCGTACGTTCAACCTCGTCTTTATTTTCTTGTTTCGTTTCGCATTTAAGCCGAAAATGTAACCACATTTCGTGTTGTACCGATGTTTGGAAGTGCATCGAATGTTTCATGTTTTGTCTTGACCAAAAGAAAGATCATTTTTTCATTTTCCACGAGACATCCGCTTTGCAGACGATCGAGGATTCGGTTCACAATCGGCAGACTCTCATTGCCGTTGTAAAAGATAATCTAACGCATCGAATTTGTACAAGCACTCGTAATAAAAATAATATCGGCCATAGCCGATCTACCTATGTATACATTCGACATTCGCCTAATTACCACGATCGTTATTCCATTGCCGAATAGATAGATATTCGTGTAATTCTCGGATTGGCGAGCGCCAATTGATGCAGGCCGCCGTTTCTGATCCGATCCATGCGTTTCCATCGAGTCGCTGATTAATTCCATCCACGTACAGCAGATTCATGATGGCAGCCAGTAATTAGATGGCCAAACCATTTGGAATTTGCGTAATAACTGAAATCTATAACCCGTTTCGCTAGTCCGAGGAGCAGCCGAATAAAATTTCCCCGCTTTCTAAAGCAAGCGATCTGTCGTCAAAATTCATGCTAATTCAACTTGACGCAGTCGTTCGCTAGTTCCCTATCTTATTCGTTACGCGTAGAGCTTGTTTATTAGCTAGAAGTAATTTCGATCGATCCGGCCAATGAATTATCGTCGATGATTAGATGAAGTGTCAATTAGACGAGTGAAACGGTCGCAAATTATACGTGTCCGTGCCGTGGCCACGAGGTTTTCTTGCTCCCTTCTTGGAAGCGAGGTCCGCTCGGTTCGTCTCAGGTACGTTCTGGAGAAGCCAGAGGCGGCCTGCGACTTGTTGCTCGATTTTCAGCCTGGCCGGGTGGGTCCTACCATTTTGTTAGCTGGCAGGTATCGGGGCCTTCCCTCGGAACACGTCCCAGCACGAATACGGCAGACCGGCTTCACGCTGCACCTATATTTCCTGTCGTTTCGGCTCGGTCTACTCTCCACCCCCATTTTCTACGCTATTCACAATCCCTCCTCTGACTACGTGCATCGAAATTCACTGTATCGACCAATCAGCACGACGGTCCACGCTTAGAAACCGATAGAAACTGCGGAAAGAGAACGAATTTCACTGTATCCTTCGGATTTCTTGGACAGCTGGTCGCCAGGACGCAGATTCGATACGAATTTAATCACTCTCTCTTTGTACGCTCTGTAAAAAAACCTTCACCGATTTTCCAGCTTTAGTTACGCAGATCTTTCATCTGGAAATCTTCAATTTTTAGAGCAGAGCTTCATTCATATAAGGTTAAATATTCCTAGGTCTTACGTCTGCAAGATCTCCTCACGTTCTAGTAGCCAGATTTGCAGACAGCTTGCAAATCGTGCTACGATTACGTCGAACTCTTCGTTTTTCCATCGTCCAGAACTCACTGGTTTCATTTACGCATCGAAACACCGAAGAAGTACGAGAATTTCGCTTACCACAAGTGGATCAGTTATGGAAACGCGGTCGCTTCTTCATTCCGTCGCTGCGTTAAACTAATTCGCTCGTTAAAAAATGAGCAAGTATTCTATGCGGTTGACCGAATCGAGTTTTCTATTCTTGAAACCCTTATTTATAGAGAATTGGTGGCTCCGAGTAGCCACTTTTGGTATTCTAATTCAATCTGCATAAGGTAAATGACCTTCTTATCGACCACGCAACCGCGCGATTGTTTTATAAGCATTAGATTGGCCACAAGGTAATATCGACGGGCCTACCGGGATTGATAACCGCCCGAGATTGATAATATCTAGATTAAACGGAAGCAGTCCGCGTTACACAACACACGTAGATTGCCGATACATCAAAAGGTATCGCAATTCGGCATTGAGAACGATTCGCAGCAACTTGAAATCTTGGTACGATGTCTGAATTCGAAATAAGATCGATGGAAAAATTTCTTCGTTCGGTCTCGTTATCGAAACAGGATATGACTGCTAAAGATACTAAATGTTCTACGTTTACCGGCTGGTTGGCTTAACATCGCGAACTTGTGACAGCCGTGCGAAGCGTTAGTGCAGAATATATTACAATAAATACAATTACATGAAAGTGCTTAGCGGAGA